AAGCAAGGGTAGTACCAATAGTAATAGGCGCCTTGGGTGCAATCCCAAAACAACTGGAACACCACTTGAACACCATTGGCGTTGACAAATTCGCCATTAGTCAATTGCAAAAGGCGGCCTTACTAGAAACAGCTCCCATCCTGCGACGATATCTGTCATACCATCAAACATCCACATCTGCCTATCCCAGGTCCTTGGTAAGGACTCGATGGGTAGACAAAAATGCCAAATCCAGTCTGAACATCTGGCTGACTGTGCGATGATCTATAATAATAATAATAATAATAAAGTTTGAAGAGACCTTGGAGGTTATCGAGTCCAACCCCCTGCCCAGGCAGGAAACCCTATACCCTTTCAGACAAATGGCTGTCCAGTCTCTTCTTAAAGACTTCCAGTGTTGGAGCATTCACAGTTTCTGGAGGCAGGTTGTTCCACTGATTAATTGTTTTAACTGTCAGGATCCATTCTGGGAGTTGAACCCCACAAGTCATAAAAGGGCCAAGTTTGAAGACCCTTGCTTTACACGCTAAAAGGAGAGACGATCAGCTCAGAGGGAAGGGATGTGCCCTGTGCTCAGGCCTTGAAGGGGACTCTTTCGTAAGGTACTGAAGAACGAAAGTACAGGTAGCCCACAACACAGTTCATTTAGTGACTATTCAAAAAGTCACATCGGCACTGAAAAACGGGACTTACGACCAATTTTCTCAGTTACCGCCTTTGCAGCCTCCCCGTGGTCACGTGATCAACATTCAGACACTTGGCAACTTGGCTCGTATTTAGGGTGGCTCCAGAGTCCCAAGGTCACGGGATCCCCCTTTTGCGGCCTTCTGACCAGCCAAGTCGACGGGGAGGCCAGGTTCACTTAACTGCAGCGATTCACTTCACAACCGTGGCGAGAAAGGTGGTAAAATGGGGCAAAACTCACTTAACAAGTGTCTCCCTTAGCCACAGAAAATCTGGACTACAACTTCCATGAACGGCCATACTAGTGGGTGTGATGGGTGGTACGTATGCTGGGACCCACATTTCAAGTCCCTGAGGTTTGAGGATGGATGTTCTGCAGAGTGAAGACTGCGGGAGAAGCTTAGAACTAAAATCAGACGCTCTTCCTTTCTGCAAAAATGGATCGGGACAGGCGAGGCATCGCGTTTCCCTCCCCCCTTCTTCTCTTTGTTCTTAAGCATCTCGCAGAGCAGAGCAAGCTGTCTGATCATCCATGCCTTGCTGACTCCCGAGAGAACTCTTTCTGTTGATGTTCTCCTGAGGATTCCCCTCGTAAGGCTGGGGGCGAAAAAACTGTTGTCGTCACAGGGGAGAAATGTGCATTTGTTCAGCTGCCTTTACAATGCCTCCTGGGGCAGCCGATGCGGGGAATCACCCAAAGAATCCTGCCCCGTTCTTGTGTTCACACGGCCTGCCAATAAACGCACGACGGGAGTTTTACGAAAAAGCGCCACTTCGTAGCCGGAAGCTATAGAAACGGGAGGGCTTGCCAGCTCATCGTGATGTTGCTTGTGAGGTTTTTATGAGCGGTTTTAAAATGGGCCAGGAGAAAGCTTCCACGCAGGCATCGTTGGCTGCCAAACTTCTCAGATTTAAGCAACGGCCCACAAAATCTTTCCAAGGATCCACAGTGCAGATTCAGTGGAGTCCATCGAAATCTAACACCTATCATGACGAGGAATGGGAGAGGAATCTAGGCACCTGTTCAAGAAGACTAAGAGGAACTGACCACTACAGAGCGAAGATCCCAAGAGGCACAACGGTGGTGGACCACCCCTCATCGCCCATCTACACACACCACTTCCCAATTTTTTCCAGGAGGAACTTCTCGCTGACCTGTCCAGGGATGGAAGGAACAGTTGCCTTTTCGGGGTTCAGCAGGCTGCCTGGAATGTCAGACTGGTAGGAGATGGGAGGAGGCCCGGGGTTGAATTCATTTAACGTCGGGGTGCCAGGGTTCACAGTGGGGAATGAATCTGGGTAAGTTCCAGAAAAGGTTGAATCTGAAACAAGAAGTAGTAGTCAGGGAGGGGGGAAAAATAATCTTTCAGAAAAGGCTTGTGGGATACTTATACAAATATTTTGAACGAAGGTTAGTTCTAACTCTCGGCAAGTCATCATATCATTATGGTAGCCGAAGAAGAACATCCAGATTCAGTCACAGTTTTGTTCCATACAGCATTAACCTTGTGAACTCTAAAGCTTCTTCCTTCCGTTATGTATTCAAGATGGACAGTGATTAATATTTATATGTTACATATATGTAAGGGTGTAGGTCTATACCCATGTTGTATATAGTATGTTTTAAATGTGTGTTATGTATGTGTACACTTTGAGAGCAAGAACTAAATTTCATTTTTAATGTGTGCCGTTGTGCCCACAGTAAAAAAATGGCAATAAAGGTTATCTATCTATCTATCTATCTATCTATCTATCTATCTATCTATCTATCTATCTATCTATCTATCTATCTATCTATCTATCTATCTATCTATCTATCTATCTATCATCTATCTATCCATCCTGTGGATTATGTTTCAATTTTGAATGGAGGACTAAGAATTGACCTTCAAATGTGCTGGACAGAATGAAATCAAATTAATCGACATTTTATTAAAGTTTTATTACATTATACTTTATGAAAGTTAGAAATGAATGTATCTAAGCTAAATTCTCTACATACTTACGTTAAAAAATGACAATAAATGTTATCTATCTATCTATCTATCTATCTATCTATCTATCTATCTATCATCTATCTATCTATCTATCTATCTATCTATCTATCTATCTATCTATCTATCTATCTATCTATCTATCTATCTATCTATCTATCTATCTATCTATCTATCTATCTATCTATCTATGTGCTATTGATGTCCCTCAAGATCTGAGCCTTTTCCCTCTCCCCCCAGGGCTCGGAGCTGACTCACTTTGGCTGGTGTAGTCGCTGGCGCCACCCCCAGCAGAAGAGGACTGCAAGGATCCAAAAGGCGAGGGCCCCGGTCCCAGGGCCGCAATCATCTCCATAACGCTGGGCATCACCATGTGGGTCGGGCTCATGGTGCGGCAACGCTTCAGCACGGGCCCGTCCTGTTCCTCCTTGATGTGGATGTCGGGCTTGATCGGGACCGGCTTCCAGCTGCACGTCGGGTCGATGGTGATCTCTTCATATTCGGAGCTGGGTAAATGGGATGTTTGCAAACGACACTCAACCCTCGTCCACCCACATTGTGGATTTATGCAACCACAGAGTTATTCACAGGTCATAAAGCATGCTGGGCTGCGCAGGGGGCTGGGCTCGATGGCTTACATGGCCTCTTCCAACCCTAGAATTGTAGGCCTCTACACAGGACTTCTTGATCATGAGCTGGTAACTTTGAATTGCCCATAAGATGCACCACGTGCCAACTTTCATTATTTCCAGCCTTTTTTGGCTAGGAGGTCATTGTCTACCCCAGGGGTAGTCAACCGTGGCTCTTTTATGACTCGTGGACTTCAATTCCCAGAATTCCTGAGCCAGCTTAGCTGGCTCAGGAATTCTGGGAGTTGAAGTCCACGAGTCATAAAAGAGCCAAGGTTGACTACCCCTGGTCTAGCCCACAAGGAGGAAAAGCAAACATTAAAAAAGGAAAACAAATGAACAACCCCATGGGGTTCTAAAAAGAAGAAAATCTCTCAATGGTTTTAAGGTGATGGTTAACTGCTGCCAACTAGCGGTAAAAATGCCTCACAAAAATTTTGGGGGTTGGTGTTGAGGGGCTTCCAGCTTACGTTTCTGGGGCTACATGGATGGTCTCCCCCTGTTCTTAGCAACATTTTTGCTCGACATTATGTCGTTTGGAGAAATACATGACAGAATATAGTACGCTGCTTGTTCTCTTCTTCACTGAAAAAGAATGCTTGTAAGCTGATTACGGATGGCATTATTAGGCAAACAACAGCTCATAGGAGTGCTATTGTTACTCCACCCAGGGAACAAGCTCTAGTGTGTTCCATGGGGCTGTCATCGGATGGACTTCCTTGGAGAAGCCTTTCTTCTACCAACGCTGTGATCAGAAATGCAAGCCTGACAATGTTACGGGAATTCAAATGAGGGACTGTGACTCTAGAGGAAATAAAACAAGCGAGCCGGCCGCATCGAGTAATATTGTGTTGCGTTTTGCTTTAATGGAAAGACCTGGTTTCTCTTCAAGCTGAGCCTCCCTCCTCGAGGCCACAGTAGTCCAGATACGATGGCACCCATTGGGTGGATAAGTATTATTATTATTATTATTATTATTATTATTATTATTATTATTATTATTATTATTATTATTATTATTATTATTATTATTATTATTATTATTATTATTATTATTATTATTATTATTAGAATTTATATACCACCCTATCTCCCTTACGGGACTCAGGGCGGTGAACAGGCGATAATAAAAACCACGATAAATATACGCAAGTTTCTGGTCTAAAATCAAATTAAATAACAGGCCTGCTCTAAAAGTACCCCATACAAAACCCCCACTAAAACATAATCAAACTACGCCAGGCCGGCCGCACAGAATAGATGGGCCTTCAGGGCTCGGCGAAAAAGGCGCAGGTCCGCAACTGTACGTAGGCCGGGGGGTAGGTCATTCCAGAGGGCAGGAGCTGCCACAGAGAAGGCTCTCCCCCTGGGGGTCGCCAACCGGCATTGACTGGCCGACAGCACCCTAAGGAGGCCCTCTCTGTGGGAGCAGACTGGTCAAAGGGAGGTGTTTGGTAGGAGGCGGTCTTGCAAATACCTAGGTCCATTGCCATGGAGCGCTTTAAAGGTTGTTACTAACACCTTGAAGTGCACCCGGAAGGCCACAGGCAGCCAGTGCAGCTCGCGCAGGAGAGGTGTTACATGGGAGCATCTAGAGGCCCCCAGGATCCCCCGCGCGGCCGCATTCTGAACTAGCTGGAGCCTCCAGGTGCACCTCAAGGGGAGCCCCATGTAGAGAGCGTTGCAATAGTCCAGGCGGGAAACAACGAGGGCTTGAGTGACCGTGCGTAGAGCATCACGATCCAGAAAGGGGCGCAACTGGCGTATCAGGCGAACCTGATGAAAAGCCCAGGGAGTCCTCAATTCGAAACTCTTCGTTTAGTGCTTGCTTAATATTAGGACACTAGGAAAAACTCACAGCATCCTCATGGCCACATGATTAAAATTCGGACAGTTGCAACTGGCATGTATTTTAAGAGGGTTGCCATGTCTCGGGATCATGTAATCACCATTTTTATCACCTTCCCAGATGATTTCTGACAAACAAAGTCAACGGGGGACGCCTTGTTTAGCAATGGAAATTCTAGTTCCCAGCTGTGGTTGTTCAGTCAAAGGCTACCTGTAATGACCAAGTTAGGCTAGTTCAGCACTGATCACAGGCTGACGTGCTAAGCAGCGCTCAAGCTCCTGAAGGAAAAGGAGGGCATCGCTCAGTTAAAATAATTGTGCAGTTGGCTGCTTGCCAGTCACAATCCAGGCACCATCTGGTACAAAGGACCTTTCCCAGGCTACACTCTTCAGAGGGAGGACGACCACTTCCCAAACAGCCTGCTTTAACTGTGGCATGGCCACCCCCATTTTGAAGTCATGCAATGCAACAGTCAGAATGCAGTCAGAGATTAGGAGAGGCCTTAACTCTCTCTCTCTCTAGCAGCTTGCAGCTTGCAAATACCTAGGTCCTCCCTACCACATCTGCCCTTGCCAGAGGGAACGCAGTGCATCATACACAAAGGCAGACCATCTCTGCTGCCTTTCTGCCCTGCTGGTGGAATCTAGTCTCTTCTCCTTCATGCAGTGCAATGCAGCTGGGTTTTTTTTGGGGGGGGGGGGAGAGGGAGGAACAGGAGGCCCTCAAATGGAAGTCTTGCCTGTTAGCTACACTTGCAAGGCACTCCTGGACTACCACAGCTTGGGGAAAGAGAAGCTGGAGAGCAGGTGGCTACATACTCTTGAGTGAAAGCAGAGTAGCACCAGGGAAGTGGAGGTACATCAATATAACCAACCAGCCCTCAAGGAATGAAGGGTTGCCCTCAAGTTGGAGAGTGCTGATTTGATTACGATGAACTGCCAGCTTCTTGGGGTAGCTCATGAAGATGGGGGGAGGAGGGTAAAAATGTGGAAGGAGACCAAGTGAAAGGAACCAGGTAAGTTCAAAAGGGTGCAGCCAGTTCACACGCAGTTCAGCTACCACGCAGAGAAGAAGGGAGAGTTGGGCATTTTATTCGAATTCAGATCCGCTCAAAGCAGATAGCATCTCCCTCAGCTTTGCCATGGAGTTGACTGGCATTTCCTTCAGGGCACAAAAGGCAACCACATAGTCACCCCTTCCCCTCCAGGAATCCATAACAACCTTGTAACCACCTCGTGAAGGTGGCTTGCCGCTTTAGGGCATCCCAGGCAGAGCTCTGAACCCCGGTTGGCCTCTGTTATGGGTTGAGAGTGGCCCTTGGGCTTCTTCTCAAAAGATCTGCAGGTCTACCTCATACCCCTCCATCAGAACAACCGAGTACCCTTCGCAGATACCATTTCTAGTTCTCTTCTAATATCTTTAGATTCCCTCTCATCTCAAACATCAACGTGGAAGAAGCATCTATGAACTGGGGGGGGGGAATGGGTGATAGCCCTGGTTTGCCCCTCGGTGGCATTAAAACAGCACCCCCACCCCAGTTGGCTGAATCCCCAGTTGCTTTGTGTAAAGGAATGAAAAAACAGCAAATCCCAAGAGACTCACTTTTGAATGTAAATCAGGATTCCCAACATGTACTGGTCCACTTCAAGCCCTTCCAACAAGGCTGTTTTACTGAGAGAAAGAAGAAGAAGATAAAAGGTGAGGGATGGGGAGTGAACGTACGCAAGGCTCCGATGGGCTGCCGCTGCAAAATTTCAAACCGGGTGGAGAACGGAGTTGGGGTGGGGTATACTTTTGGTTGTAGAAGGTTTTAAAAGTGAAGTAAAAGCAAAAGCAAAAAGCAATATATATAGCCAGCCAGACACCTGATCATAATTTTAAAAAAGGAAAGGACGTTGGGACAAACTCTGTCCCGTCTGGACCTTGTTGGGAAGCAGAGCCCAGCCCAAGAACGAACGCTGGGCCTTGGTCCTGCTGTCGATTAACTGCCAGCCTTTAAGGCAGTGGTTCTCAACCTTTTTAATGCCGCGACCCCAACCGGTCGTAAGTCGAGGACTAAACCGGTCGTAAGTCGAGGACTAAACCGGTCGTAAGTCGAGGACTACCCAACCAGTCGTAAGTCGAGGACTTTCCCTGCCCGGGAGCGCCGCGCATGCGTGGTTCCGCTCCCTGCGCCGGCCCAGGCGTAGCTGTCAAGTGGCAGAGACGGAGCAGGCCGACCACCAGCTGGCCCAGCTCAAGGGAGGTAAGGCACCCGCCGGAAAAGGGGAAAAAATGGCGGACAAAAAATGGCGGACAGCCTTGCTTGGCGACCCCCGTGAAATGGTCGATCGACCCCAAATGGGGTCCCAACCCACAGGTTGAGAACCACTGCTTTAAGGGCTCCGTTTTGTGAACAGCTCTTGACTTTAGCCCAGGAACCAGTTGACAGTGAAGAGGAATGGAAGGAGAACTATTGCTTTTAGATCTTCGTAGGAACTGTCCAGCGCAGGAGTACTGGCTGGCCACAATAAAAAGCTACAGTAAATTATCCACAGCATTTTTTCCCCCCAACCATGGGAATTTTTAAGATGTGTGGACTTCAACTCCCAGAATTCCTCAGCCAGCAACCCCACACATCTTAAAGTTCGACGCATCTTAAAGTTCCCAAGGATGGGGAAGCTTTTCTCTACTACACTGCTTTCCTAATGAAGGTCCTTTCCTGGGTTTAATATCCCAAATGTCTTTAACGAATGCCACACACACCCCCAATATAAATACTCACTTGCAAACAGGACATCTCCACGTCCCCCTTTCACAGTTTAGCTGCAAATAGGACTCCAAGTCGAAGCACTGCACAGAAAAACAAACACACACACACACACAAAAAAACAGGAGTCGGTTGGGCAAAAGGCTTTAGAAACCAACTCCAAAGGCTTTGGGGACAAGGTCAAATGTCTAATCTTGGGAAAGGATGATACTCTACTACAGGGGTCTTCAAACTTGGCTGTTTTATGACTTGTGGACTTCAACTCCCAGAATTCCTCAGCCAGCAATCTGGGAGTTGAAGTCCACAAGTCATAAAAGGGCCAAGTTTGAAGACCCCTGCTCTACTGGACCCCTTGCAAGCTTCCCCTGCTGCACTGAACCACTGATTGGGGGTTTCTTGTTCTCTTCCCTTCAACAGCCCTCCTCCCGTTGTCGGCAGCTGCAGGGCTCTGTTCCCACCTTCTCCGTTAGCCAGAGAGTAGGAAGATACGGAAGGTGAACAGAGACTCACCTGTATGTGCCTGCAGTCGTGACCCCTGGCGGGAAGTTGGATTCTTCGAAAAGTAATGGGGCACTTCAGGGACACCTTAATGGCTGTCTGCTCCACACCGTCTTCGCCATTTGGACCCGGAGTCCCAGGGATTGTGCCGCTGCTGAAGTTGCGTTTGACTAAGGGGTGGAGAGGGAAAATAGCAATAGCCCTTAGACGTATGTACTGCCCCACAGTCCTTTATAGCACTCTCTGAGCAGTTTACAGAGTCAGCCTATTGCCCCCAACAATCTGGCTCCTCATTTTACCAACCTCGGAAAGGTGGAAGGCTGAGTCAACCTTGAGCCGGTCAGGATCGAACTCCTGGCAGTGAGCAGAGTCAGCCTGCAATACTAACGTTCTAACCACTGCACAGTGCAGACCCGACGGACCAAAAGGCAGACTTGATAGACCACCGGTTCTTTTTTTTTGCTGTCAGTTTTCTGTTTCTGTATTTCTAAGCAACTCAGTAGGCTGGGAAGGGCGATGGCCAGCAGAGTTGGAAAAGGGTTGAGATGGGGACACAGGAGGCCTTTTCTTATTCCTTTATCGTTTTGACTTTTCCTGCCTCAATCAATTTGCCCATAGTCTGACCCAACACATAGTATTCCAACCTCACCTAACAAAGGTAAGAGCTTTTTACATCAGACGTTCTGCGAGTCAGGGGATCGCCGTAATTAATTCCACCTCCCTGGTCCGTCTGACAATGCAATCCTCCTTACAATCATTTGTTTAATGAGTGTTTGAAGTTACAACAGCGCTCAAAGAAAAGTGACTTGGGACTGGTCCTCACACTTACAACCTTCACGGTGTCCTTGTGCCATGCTGTCAAAATTCAGACACTCAGCCAACAGTAGGTATTGGTGATGGCTGCAGCGTCCCAGGATCAGGATCACCATTTGTGACTTTCCCAGACCCAGTAAAGTCAAAGGGAAAAGTCAGATTTGCTTAGCAGATTTGCTGGTGGGCGAAGTTAAAGTCCACAAGTTTTAAAGTTGCCAGCTTGGACACCCCTGCTCTACACTCTTCTGTTCTGTTTTCAGAACAGCCTTTTCTAACCTGAGTGTTCGGAGTAGTTGGATTCCCATCGAGCCTCCTCCAATGACTTACAGGCAGCATGGAAACCTCTGCCTTCCCCCCTTCTCCGCCTCAGCTATGCACTTGTGAAGCAGCTGCTCCGTTGTTGTGCATCTCTGATCCCAGCATAGTGGAACTCTAGAGCAGAGGTCCCCAACCTTTTGGGCACCAGGGGTCAGTTCCGTGGGGAGAGGTTTTTCCGCAGACCGGAGAGTGTGCGGATTTGTGTTGTGGGAAGTCAGCTCCCCAGAGAAGGAAATATTAAAAGGACAGAAAAATATATTTCCTCCAAGGAACTTAAAGAGACAGAACAGCATGCCCAGTTTTCCTTAATAGCCCCAAGTCTGTCTCCCCCAAGCAGAAGCCAGCTTTGTACAAATGCAGATGTAAACCAGGAAAATTGGCGCTAGAAGCTTAGGAAGACAAAGAGACCTAAAATCTGCATACCCCACCCAAACTCTAAGAGTCATTAGCCCCAGCACCAGGGAAGCAGGATATGACCTTTGTGACACAATAGGATTAACTCACAGATGCCAAAGGGACACAGGTCAAAATACATGACACAGGAAATACAAAGCTTCAAACAGGAACAGGAAATAACTCCAAACAAAAGGCTCCAGAGGGTATAAAAACCCACTCCCTACATGTGCTCTCTCTCTTTTCTTCCAGAGCCATCTTTCTGTCTGACTCTCCTCTTCAATAAACTGCAACCTTCTTTCTAAAGCAGTCGCCATGTTGTTTATCCCTGGCTTGGACTGAACCACGATGAAGACTTTTCTTTCAACAGTGTGCTGCCTGCATCTTGCGGATGGGGCTTTGCTTGTTTGTGTGGACCAGTTGCTGGCATGCTGCGGCCCGGTACCGGTCCACGGATTGGGGGTTGGGGACCCCTGCTCTAGAGGAACCCCGCTGATGGCTTTTACTCCCTTGAAGAACCAGGCCAGGCAGTTCTGTCTCTTGAGCCAGACTTTGCAGAGGTGGGGAAGGATGCGGAAGAGCAGAGATGCTACTCACTTTTGGTGATGCAGTGCTCGGCCGGCAACAGCCGCTTCTTGATCAAGCCTTGCAAGACGGACCGTACCGAAGGCCTGTGCACCAATTGCAGGACAAAAAGGTGGGACTAAAACGAAGAAAGAAGAGAAGTCAACCCCAGGCAGGGCTAAACACACACTCACAGTTTGCGTTACATGAGAAAGCAGCTCAGATCTGCCCTCTTCAGCATGTCTTGCTTCCTGCCATAAAATGGGAGGGACGGGGGAGAGGATAGGGTAGTAGGGAAGTGAGGAGGTAGGAGGAGGAGGAAAGACAGGGTGACAGGAAACAGAGCTGTCAATCCGGAACAAACCAGCTGATCAGGGACGGAGCTGTGAGAACGGAATGCGAAACTCAACCTAAGAGGCGCCAAACCCCAAAGCCGTTTCCAAAACATTGGAGGAATATGATTGGACACTGATGGGCTGGTCAAGACGTGAGGGCCAGGGAGATGGGAAAACTATGGGAATATTCAGATCCAGCTTTGCTTATGCTGTAGCTCAGGACTCTTCAAACATGGCCCTTTTATGACTTGTGGACTTCAACTCCCAGAATTCCTCAGCCAGGCACGCGTGCCTGGCTGAGGAATTCTGGGAGTTGAAGTCCACAAGTCATAAAGTGACCAAGTTTGAAGAGCCCTGCTGTAGCTGCTTGACTACGCTGGACCTTTCACTTCAACGAAATGGAGTTCAAGAGTCTTTCTTTCCTAAAGGTCCAAGTTGGGACAAGCCTGACACCCAGAGAAAAAGGCTCTTCTGAACCCAGAGAGATGGGTATTTTAACCCAGGAACCAACCAATGAAAACAGTATGAAAAGGGGAGGGAAATGGTACCACATATAGCACACAACCGACTTAAGAATTTCTGCTGCTGCCGCAAGGAATGACAAAAGCAACTCTGCTGGCTTAAAATAAGGGAATGCCCCCTTTATCCTGGACTTCCCGCACCTGTGTGGATTTAGAGGCAGAATTCATCCAATTATGGGTAGGCCAAGACCATCTTCCCCAATCTGGTGGTGCCCTCTGAGTATGCGGGGACTGCAGTCTGTAGAATTCGGTATCCTAAAGCAGAGGTCCCCAACCTTTTGGGCACCAGGTACCAGTTCCATGGAGAAAAGTTTTTCCGCAGAGTGTGTGGTTTTGTGTGCTGCCTGCATCCCACGGATGGGGCTTTGCTTGTTTGTGCGGACCGGTTGCTGGCATGCTTCGGCCCGGTACCGGTCCATGGAACGGAAGTTGGGGATCCCTGTCCTAAAGGAATTTGGGAGTAGCCATCTCCATCTACCCAATATATCTCAAGTTGGGAAAAGCTGATACAGGAATTTGGGGAATTAGAACAACTGGCATTGGGGGGGACTAGATGTCCATCTGTTATGAAGCAGCCAGGAGTTGTCAATACCCTTCACAGCAAAACAGAGGCTCCGAGAAGCTGCTATCTTCAGCCAAAAGGCCCCTCCCAAACAAACAGAAGTTGAACTTACACAGCAGCAAGCCGTGACTGTGATCTGGATGGTGTTCCTGCCGGGCTGGCAGACCTGCTTTAGGTAGAGGGGCTTGTGTGAAGTCTTATTGTCTCCCCGCTCGATGGTCAGAGGAGTGGCATTCACGCTGACCTGGACTGAGGCTGGCCAGTTGGTGTTCATTTGTCGGTCCTCGTGATGGTAGCATTTAAACTGCAGCTCTAAGTCAGGCCTGAGAAGGAAAGAGGAACCACAACGTGCCTTTTTAAAGAAAACACTCGTGGTGCCTTGGAAAAGGCAGGGAGACCAAGGGGATAAGGACTTTGTAATGGGAGAAAACTCTGGTACGGTCTCTTGTCCCAATCTCTTTTAACCATAAACCTGTGGACCTCAATTCCTGCTGAGAGTTCTGTTGCTGGAGCACGATTCCCAGCAGCCCCCGAGGACACTCCAAAAGCAATGGGGCTGAGAACTGTAGCGGATCAACAGCTGGTGGACCACAATTCCTCATCCCTACTGTAGACTCTTCTCCCTGGGAATGCAGAACCTCTCCATAGAGCAGGGTTTCCCAGGTATGTGAACTACAACTCCCAGAATTCCACAGCCAGTATGGCCATTGCTGAGAATTCTGGGAGTTGAAGTCCTCTCACCTTTCATTCACCAGGAGTGGGAAACATTGTCCTACAGCAGGGGTCTTCAAACTTGGCCCTTTTATGGCTTGTGGACTTCAACTCCCAGAATTCCTCAGCCAGGAATTCTGGGAGTTGAAGTCCACAAGTCATAAAAGGGCCAAGTTTGAAGACCCCTGTCCTACAGACCCCTGTTCCCAGCTGAGGGAAGTTCTGAACTAACTCAATTATCAGGATAATACCCAAACACCTGCCCTAAATAATAACAGAAACGGAAGCAGTTAACAATTAGCTAATAGCTGCTTTTTTTCTCTTTAACTCTCTACTGCCTTTCCTCCCGTTTCTCAACTGACAAAGCATTTTTTCCCCCCTCCAGAATACTTTCATCTTTTCCCAGAACTTTCATCTATCTGCGAAAGAACATCTCACAGAGTTCAAGTGATTGCCAGATGCAGCCCAGAAGGAGTCGGAATAAAGCAAAAACCCGTTGTTGCTTTTCACAAAAACAGCCAATTAAAATATTCCACCTGAAGGGGGGGTGGACTGGATGGATTCTCAGAGCTCTCCTGTGGCCAGTTCAGAAAGGATAGTTGGACCAAGGCTGTAGAAACAACAGGGAGCAAATGTGCCATTATACAGAAAGGTGGAGTTGAGATCATCAATAAGCCCCAGTCAAAGAATCCTTTCTGATCCTCAGGACTATCGGAGGTAGCACGCCAGTAACCCAGTTTAGAGTTTTGCTGTTTTGCTTTGTTCCAACGTGGACTCAAGAGTAACGTGGAGCAAGTCACAGCTCATCTTTGCTCCCAGCTCACCACTTCAAAAAAGACCCATGCAGGGTTCCCGTTTCATCTTTCGGCCATCTTTCAAAAGCTGCCTGTGCTTAACGATCAACCAATTCTAAGTTGGAGAAGGCACAAGGTGATTCATTCGCTTCGTACAGACATGTCAAACAGAAGGCCCGGGGGCCAGATGTGGCCTGCGAAGTGGTTTCATGTGGCCCGCGAAGCCATCCCAGAAACAGTGAGGGAACGGCCCCCGCTGCCTTGGCCCTGGCTCAGGCCGGCCGGGAGCCAATGTACAATTTTGTGGTGGCCATCTATGCTGAAACGCATTCACAAGGCCGTCCGGAAACAGTGAGGAACCAGCCCCTTCCGTGTCAGCCCTGCCCTCTCGGTGCATGCTGGAGAGGGGTCACCCTTTGTGAGGAATGAAGAAATGTACCATCGCCTGGAAGTGGCCAGCAAATGGCCCTTGCCTACTTCACATATCTGGCTTGATGGGCTCCGGCGGAGGGGTTTCAGCAGGCAGTGAGGCTCCTCCAGTGGACCATGCCTTGGCACTTGCCCTAGTCCCACCCCCTTCTGCCAGAGACCCTCAGATCTGTCCCACTCCTGCCCGGGCCCCCACAGGCACCCTTGACGCGAACGATGTAGAGCTGGCCATGCCCACCCAATAGGCCACACCCACTCTGTCCACACCCACCCAGTAGGTCACACCCACCCTGGCTACACCCCCACCCCCCGAGGGCAACCACAATGCTGATGCGGCCCTCAATGAAATTGAGTTTGACACCCCTGGCTTAGTAGCATGAGCTTGGGGAAATCATCATCTCTCTCACCTGAGCATCAGAGTCTTGTAAACAGAGTCCCTGAGCTGGAAGACATGGTTGCTGACCGCCAAGTTGTGCTGCAGGCGGAAAGGCTCCAACACCACACCATCCCGTACTGGGAAGGTCAAACGCAACTCGTCACAAGGGTTCCCTGCTGGGACGAGACAAGAGAACGGGCTGATCATGAGCGGGAAGTGCACGGTTAGAGGTGCAGGGATGATATGGGGCAGAGGAGCCAAGGCAGGTGTGGAGGGGGCTAGGCTGAGCCAGCAACAGGGCAAACAGTAAGGGATTGTCTGGGCTGGGGGGTATGGCAGGGGGCAGCCAGGTGGGAAAGTGCTGCAGCGGGTGTGAAGAACAGGCCTGGGTTCTGCCTTGACTCCACCAGGGCTCTCATTTCCTTTCCTCCCCCTAAGTCTGTTGAATTCTGCAAGCATTTGGCGGAACAGATTTTTGGCACGCCCTCTTCTGTCCCTTAGACTGTTCCCACTGCAAGTTAAGGAAGTCTCTCAAGATTTATTTATTTCCCCCCCACCCCAGCACCAAACTGCCACTCCTTAACTGCCACGGAATTCCCCCGGCTCCCAAAATTCCATTGCTCTGCCAATGGTCCCAAATTCAAATCAAGGTCCAGAGCCCAGTCAATATGTAGAATCCAGAGGGGGACGTTCCTCCAGGACTCAACCATTTTGAGCTGCAGGGGTGTGTGCGTGCATGCATTGAGATGTACAGGCACACCTGTGTGAACTGCTGTGTCTCATTTTGGGGGAAAGGTGCCTTGCTCATTAAAAAAAATGATGGAGAAGTCCAGGATGAATTTTTCTTGCTAAAAAAAAAAAAAAAAGTGAGTTTTGCAAAATGGAGCGATACGGTCAAGAAAAGCTTTACCGCTCAGATGCTGTGTTGCTTTTTCCTACCTTATTGTGTGCTACCCCGAGTCTCACAACCGGGATGGTCTACAAATATTGCAAATGAATACATCAACTAACCCGTGAGTTGTCGTTACTAATCGACGTGCGCCATCCGGCTCTTTCGCCAAGGGAAGCCACAAGTCAGTCAGAATGGAATGACTTTCTCGGTGCCTAAGACTTACCAGACGGAGAAGGATGTAAAGAAGCCATGTTGGGAGATGGAGAAGGATGCAAAGAATTGATATTGGGTTTGATGTCTGGAAGGAAGGGTGACTTCACATCCTGTCCTGGGGACATGTAGGGAGGGATATTACTTCCAGGGGTCATCGGAGGTGTGGGGTTACCAGGTAAAGGAGAGCTTGGGTAGCCAGGCATGGACCTTGCTGGCTGAAAAGAGAACAAAATCATAACTCAGGTGTTATTCAACCTTATGAAGCTTCAGCCCACCTTCTATTAAAAGCAAGCCCAAACTTTACCCAATGGAGTACCAAGTTGAAGGTCTTCTGAATATTGATCCGGGGAAAAGATGGCTGCATTTACATCCTACTGAATGCATTTTTTCCAAACTAACATCCTTGAAATGTTTGAACTTCATGGACACAAAGGAGTGAGAAAAAAATTGTCAGGTCCATGTGCTGAGGCTTTGCAGCTGTTAAGTCAGTAACATGGCTTCACCATTGAGTTTGCTTGTCAGAAGGTCACAAAAGGTGGCTCACATGACCCTGGGCACTACAACGGTCATTAAGTCTGAACCAGTTGCCAAGCATCTGAATTTTGACCACGTGACTGTAGGGGTGATGCCATTGTCATAAGTCACTGTTTCCTGTCTCACTGTAACTTTGAACAGTCACTAAATGAATTGTTGTAGGCCGAAAACTCCCTGTACTAAGAATTATGCAATAGGAAGAATTATAGGAAATTTAAAGTCGGGTGTCCAACCTTGGCAACTTTGAGACTTGTGGACTTCAACTCCCAGAATTCCCCAGCCAGGAATTGAAGTCCACAGGCCTTAAAGTTGCCAAGGTTGGACACCCCTGCTTTAAAGTATCAAACCCTCACATTAGTGCATGAGAGGACTAGTCCAGGGACAGGCAACCTTGGTTCTTTTATGACTCGTGGACTTCAACTCCCAGAATTCCTGAGCCAGCCATGCTGAGGGGAAAGGGAGAGGTTTCCAAGCTGAGCCATGCTGGCTCAGGAATTCTGGGAGTTGAAGTCCGCGAGTCATAAAAGAGCCAAGGTTGCCTACCCCTGGGACTAGTCAAATAATCTAACTCTCAATGCAAGATCAAGACAGTATTTCTTCCTTGTGGGGACATTGGCATGATTTTCCTAACAGCAAGCAGAATCCAATTTGTTTTTATATGGCTGTTCTCATTTTTTGCTAGTCCTCAGCCCCCTATGAATGGACCAAGTGTTTTACAGAAGCAGCCATTTCCTTTTATCTTTATAGACTGCCTTTAAAAAAAAATATTGCATGTCAACCTTCTCCAGCTGAACAGGCAGTGGGTAAACAAGGACATAAAGATGCAAGGCTTCCTGATTTACTGTAGATCACACTGTGATCACTGTGTACCAAATACGAGTTCTATTTATACTTCAATCAATGTCAAACTCTATGCCTTTTCTCCCACCTACTTTATAAAAAAGACCTAGAAATTATTCTCTTGTAGATGAGAGAGACAGCTTACATCTCTATCTTCTTTTGGAGACTGCACGATCTGGTATCAGGCTGTGTGCTTTTGATCAAGTGAAAACTATCTCATGCTGCATATATTTCAATCCCCCCCCCAAATGTCCATTTTTTTCCTAATTAAAAACAGTTGGGAAAAACATATACCCAACTTCAGCCACACAAATGAGAGGCTCTTGGAAATTAAAATATAGCATTATTTTCTTTTGAGTGAAAAGGGCAACTCTGACCCACAATTAGCCCCTTGAGATGATACAAAGGCAAAGGAATTAAAAACAGACAAAAAATAACTTGCAAAAGATGCAGGAGAGAGCGACTCTAGTTAGCATCACACCCTTTTTCTTTAGGTTGGCAGAAATTTTTCTCCATTCCCCCTCCCCAAATGGAATAAGAACGGAAAAGATGCCAGTCAAGAATTGAACCCGGCAAGAGGTTGGTGGTAATTTTAAGCTAATATATAAAAAAAAAAATACACAAAGTCAAAGCCTTGCTCACACGATGCACCATTTGCTTCAATTCTGTTTAAGAAACAAGAAAAATAACCCAACGAAGACCAGTATGTTGTGCTGTGTGTGTAAAAGGAAAGAGAAATGGATGAATGAATGAGGGAATGTGTGAAGGGGTGTTCTGTGGATAACAACCAGGAAGAATTTTGTGAATCTATGTAAAACACATGAATAAATCATCCCGGAATGCAGAGAAGAGCGACAAAGATGATCTCCAGCCCCCTCAAAGATGGAGATCTTGGAGGCTAAAACATATGAAGAACGGTTGCAGGGATTGGGTATGTCCAGTCCAGTGAAAAGAAGGACTAGGGGTGACATGATAGCAGTGTTCCAATATTTGAGGGGCTGCCACAAAGAAGAGGGGGGTCAACCTATTCCCTAAAGCACCTGAAGGCAGGACCAGAAGCAATGGAGGGAAACTGATCAAAGAGAGAAGCAATCTAGAACTAAGGAGAAATTTCCTAACAATAAGAACAATCAACCAGTGGGACCGCTTGCCTTCCGAAGCTGTGGAAATACGGCAGAGAGATAACACCTAGCATCTGCATCATTACCCAATATCTTAGAAGCCTTATCAGAAGCAAACAACATCAGAACTCACCCCATTCATAGTAGCTTGTCCATAGCTACTGAAGTTGCTACCATTGAAATTGGCATTTTGACCATTGAACTGATCAGTAGGCTGGAAAGAGAAAAGCCAAAAAACATTTGTCGTTAAGGGTAATCGGGGCCCTAATTCCCAAGGCAGGAGTTATCCATCAATCCAGTTCGCATCCCACCTTGATTCTTAAGCAGTGCTTCTCAACCTTGGCAACTTTTAAGATCTGTGGACTTCAACGCCCAGGATTCCCCAGCCAGCACGGGAGGTGAAGTCCAAACATCTTAAAAGGTGCCAACGCTGCTCCAAAAAAATACTGAGTAGGTCCCATAGTTCTATGTCTCGTTTTACCCCAAGAACAAATAATGACAAACCGAAGATAGCTGAATTCTCGTGTTATATTAAAGTCTGTACCCTCTAGTCATTTTCTGATCTATTTTCTTCAGCCTAGAAGAGGGCTTAACTCCATAGAGCTGCTGACTTAAAATCTCTCTCCAAGGAGTTTGCTATGCATGAGCTATTGTTAGGAGCCACCTCTACAAGTTGTGTACTCCTTAAATGTTAAGTGCTGGACACTGAACACCAAACAAGTCCCTAACAATGTGAAGAGATTGGAGCATGCAAGCAGCTAAACATCTCAGCACCTTGGAATTGTCTAATAACCATTACAGAACTTTCTCTCAGGCCTGATTTAATGTCGTTTCACCCCTATTATGTTTATGTAACTTTTTACTACAGCTAGTCCTCCATTTACAACCACAATCGGGGCCAGAATTTCTATTGCTAAGCAAGACTATTAAGTGAGTTGTGCCCAATTTTAAAACCTTTTTGTCGTGGTTTTTAAGCGAGTCACTGCAGTGTTAAGTGAATCAAACGGTCGTTTAGGAGATCTGGCTTCCCCCATTGACTGGGAAGGTTGCAAATAGCGATCACACAACACTGCAAATCCACGCGGATTGAATTTTGATCAGAGGCTGTGATGGCTGTAACTGCGAAGAGCTGTTTTAAGTAACTTTTTTCACTGCCCATTGTAACTTCAGTCACTAAACAAATAGTTGCAAATCAAGAACTACCTGTATACATTACAGTATTATTGTTCTTGTAGGGTATTTTATATTGCTGGCCTGAGACTGTAGTAAGGAAACATCCGTTCATCTACATTTATACCAATGCGTGTCTTAGTTGGGTTCACACAGTATGGAAAAATAGGTTTGCCGACAGGCTATTCTGCAGATGGATGCAACTTTTCTACTGAAAGACAACAATGCCGACTATGGATTTGGGGAGGGGAAATTAAATCTCTATCTGAAAGAGAACCAGACTGAGGATGGCTGAACTAAACTGCAAGCCAAGGTTTACAAATGACAAAGATTAGATTCATACAGTGCAGTATACCAGACCAAAAAAAAAAACCAAAAAACACCCTTGTGACATGGGGTTAAGTGAACTAACAGAAAAAGGATCTGGATCCAGTTTCCCCAGGCATAATTAGCTGCATTGGATTAAGTCTCAAGAAACAATGTTCCCCCCCCCTTTTATTTGCTGGCTTACTCTATAACCTTGAGAGAACATTTTCTTCTGGCCTGTGAAAATTATTCAAACAACCTCCATTAACTCGGGTTGGGAAGAGTTGTTCTTATGGCTGCTGGCTGAAGACTGGAATTAACAGAATATTTTAAAACCTTAAAACCGCTCTCTCCCCAACGGATTATTTTCGGGCTGGTGGGTTTCCCGCTTTAGAATCCTCCGTGATCATTGCCCAGAATTTTGGTAGCCGAAGACCCCACATCTGAAGAGCACCCACATTAGAGAAGGCTTTCCTTACAAAATCATAAGAATAATAGCGGGGGGGAAAAACCAGTGGAGATGCAGATCTCTCTCTCCTTCCTTAGGGAGATGCTCTCCTGATGCATTCATCATTCCATTAGGAATCTGCTCTCCCTCCTTACAGGATGAATGTCTGTAGGTCTCTTTCACCTTCAGTGAGAATCTGGTACAGCTGTTACCATAGCAACGGAGTACCTTATAGTATGGGCCGCTAGTACTGGAGGCAGAGAGATAATGGCTCACTCCCTGTTGCAGTGGCAAACGGTGACCGGGATAGGAGGGGGATGGAGCAGATGGTTGAGGCACATTCGTGGCGTACTGTCCGGCTTGAGTGGGATACTGGCCACTTTGGATATATTGTTGTCCTGGATAACCCTGGAAGAGATCCAGAAAAAAAAGGCAGGTGAGTGATGGCCACATACGATGATGTTGCCTAAATCTGCCTTTAAAGAAGTAAATTGAGGAAGGGATTAACAAGAAGTACGTGAAGACTTTCAGTGAGTTTAGGCATCTCCTGGGAAAATCAACTGGGGATGGTTTAAGGGTGGTCTTACACCCCTGCTACCCACAACCCATCAAACCCTGGAAAAATATTCGTCCCTCCCAATCTTCCCAGGCCCTGGGAGCCTCAGAGAGATGCTGGAGGGGCGGAGGTGGTGGGGGCTGTAGGCCGCTTGAAAATGGCTCGCCTCTTTGCTGAAAGGTTATGGGGGGACTCTGCTGGATGCCCCCCCCCCTACATCTTACTTGGGACTGTCTCCTGGCGTTAATTTCTTTTCTAGATTTGACTGGAGGTGTGGCCCCTGTCATCTTGTTTCAGCTATAATCAGTGAGATTAGACGACTCGGCAAGGGCACGGTTTCAGCTAATTGTAGGCATCCAGATCAGACCGAGAATGCTAATTGCTAGGCTCCGTTTCATTCATTCTGAGCCTGGATGAAATCTGCAGGTCCAGGAAAACTGGCAGTTTATCAATATTTCAGGAGGAAGCCCAGAATGCCCAACATACATAATAATTCTAATATGCTTTCCTGAGATTGGGTCCCCCCCATGGGTTTATCTCTTGCTACTTTCCATCCCCCTCACAAATTATTTTATGCTTGGAGCCCTGAGTTAGTGGGCTCCAAAACTAGGGCTACAATTGAGCCCAACATTTCTGTTGTTCAGCGAGACATTGGCTTGTGAGTTTTGCCCCACTTTATGACCTTTCTTGCCACAGTTGTTAAGTGAATCACTGCAGTTGAGTTAGCAACCCGGTTGTGAAGTGGGTCTGGCTTCCCCCATTGACTTTGCTTGTCAGGAGGTTGCCAAAGGGGAATCACAGGACAACCCAGGGACACTGCGACCGTCATAAACATGAGCCAGTTGCCAAGCGTCTAAATTTTGATCACGGGGATGCTGCAAAGGTCGTAACTGTGAAAAACGGTCATAAGTCACTTTTTTTCAGTGCCGTTGTGACTTTGACCGGTCACTAAATGAACTGTTGTAAGTCGAGGACTACCTGTAGTTTGGGGTAGGAAGAATTCCAGGTTCCTTCCCTTCCTGTTTCTGCTCCTTTCTTTTCCTTAGACCAGGGGTAGGCAACCTTGGCTCTTTTATGACTTGTGGACTCCAACTCCCAGAATTCCTGAGCCGGCCACGCTGAGGGAAAAGGGAGAGGTTTCCAAGCTGAGCCATGCTGGCTCAGGAATTCTGGGAGTTGAAGTCCACTGTTCATAAAAGAGTCAAGGTTCCCCACCCCTGCCTCAGACTGAGCCCTTGTCGTTGGATGTAGGATGTTGACTAGTTTCTGCCAAGTCTGCATCTGTGACCTGGTCTCTAGGCAACACACCTACTACAAGTACTCAAAGGCTAGTACTCCCTGTTTACTACACCACTCTTCCTTAATTCGACTATAACTCCTATTCCTTCACTACTTCTTTTTGTGAATAACTCTTCTGTTTGCCTTAGGCTGCTTCAGCTATTTTACTGCCTCAAAAGACACACACACACCCATCCCCGTCCTCTCACACTCAGCATACTGGAATTATATTCCCAGACACCAAAAGTGACATTGGTTGGAAATTCTAGAATTATAGTTCCAGCACAATGGAACGGCACTCAGATGGGGAAGACGGACACTCCTTGGCCAAGGACTCAAGTTGTAACCTAAGGTTACTCCAAAGCTTGAGCTTCAAAACCCTTCTGCCTTTGATACGCACCTCGCTGGAATAAGTTCTCTTGACACTTTGCCGGGGCATCTGCTGGCCTTGTGGTGGAGTAGGGTAGCCGTGCTGAGGCATTCTCTGCCCGGCATACAAGGCGCTCATTGCAGGGGTCCTTGCTGTGCTCATGTTCATGGGCGACATCCCAGAGGCGTTCAACATGTTGGCTGGATTCATCCCGGGTGGTACAGTTGGTCCCCGAGGCCCCGAATGAGGGAGGAATTGATTGTTGAAAGGCTGCCCAGCACCCATCTCCAGAAAAAGAAAAAGGCGGGAAAAAGTTAAATGGGATTCCATACAAAGCCAGACCTTAGGGAAATGGGTTTGTAGGATCAACTAGGCCAGGGGTAGGCAACCTTGGCTCTTTTATGACACGTGGACTTCAACTCCCAGAATTCCTAAGCCAGCATAGCTCAGTTGGAAACCTTTCCCTTTTCCCTCAGTGTGGCTGGCTCAGGAATTCTGGGAGTTGAAGTCCACGAGTCATAAAAGAACCAAAGTTGCCTACCCCTGGTATAGGGTCTCCTGCTTGAGGAGCAGGTTGGACTAGAAGACCTCCAAGGTCCCTTCCAACTCTGTTATTTTGTTCATTGTTCATGGGGATTGGAATTCCCTTCGTTACTTCCAAAAACACACTGCCCAGGCTGCCTTGTATTATTCCCCACAATTTCATTCTTTGACTTCAGCCCATATTCTGGCCAGAGAACAGGAAGAGGAAGAGAGGGTTTATCTTCGCCTGGTCTTCCAAGAGTGGACAACCTGTAACTTGTGGACTGACTGCGTGTGATTCACCGACTTTTTGAGGTGGCACCATCTTTGGGTAGATTGCTACTGAATGTTTCACAATCCTGCCCCTTGGGGTTGTATCACAAAGTATAAACAGAGGGCACATCTCTCCCATCATGCATCTCTCCCGCCATCTGGTTAGCACTTTCCATCACTCTTGTACCACATGAAACAAACATGCTAAGCTTACCGCTCCGTACTGACTCAACTCCTGGCTCTGCTTTTCTTGCAAGGCAGCGACTGTGGCTGTGGCCGTGGCCGTGGCTGTTGCGGCTGCAGCTGCTACAGCGGCTGCAGCGGCTGCTTGGGTGAAGTCTGTCGGGGCTCTCGCAGTATGAGAAGGAATGCCCATTCCCCCAGGGCCGTTTGGGCTCCCTGCATAACTAGAGAAAAGACAGGGTTGATAGCCTGGTTGCATATGTTCTGCATACGCTCTAATGATGGCCACAATCGACTGTTGGAAGTCCTTAGGATCTTATTTGCCCAGACAGTGGTGTCGAATAGCTGGAACTCCAGGATGAAATAAGGCAGGGGTCCTCAACCTTGGCAACTTTAAGACTTGTGGACTTCAACTCCCAGAATTCTACTGTTGGAAGACCTTAGGATCTTATTTGCCCAGACAGTGATGTCGAATAGCTGAATTAAGGCAGGGGTCCTCAACCGTGGCAACTTTAAGACCTGTGGACTTCAACTCCCAGAATTCTACTGTTGGAAGTCCTTATGATCTTATTTGCCCAGACAGTGGTGTCGAATAGCTGGAACTCCAGGATGAATTAAGGCAGGGGTCCTCAACCTTGGCAACTTTAAGACTTGTGGACTTCAACTCCCAGAATTCTACTGTTGGAAGACCTTAGGATCTTATTTGCCCAGACAGTGGTGTCGAATAGCTGGAACTCCAGGATGAATTAAGGCAGGGGTCCTCAACCTTGGCAACTTTAAGACTTGTGGACTTCAACTCCCAGAATTCTGGGAGTTGAAGTCCACAAGTCTTAAAGTGGCCAAGGTTGAGGACCCCTGAATTAAGGAGTCTCAGAACTGCTGCTAACTGGAGGAAAAACAAGTAGTCCTTAGTACTGTAAATCCTTTGTACTTACCTCGTCTCTCTTCCTGATCGCGACACAGGATAAAAAAAAATTTCCGTGACCGACCCTTATAAAATTAGGGTTTATGACAACCAGCATTTGGCGTAGCGAGAAATCGAAGACTCTGAGGACAGGTTTAATATTACCGTTTGTAACCCTTATTGAAGAAAACGAAGCGTTCGCTGTTGGACAGGTATGCACGCTGTTGGACAGGTATGTATGCACAGGCAAGTAAAAGATCACAGGAAATCGAGGAATATAATTAAGATGTGGGATGCTCAACATTAAAAAAGAAAAGACAGAGAAAACAGGAATCTTTCTAGGCCACCGAATGCTGGTTGCCAAACCCAATTCCTCAGGTGCTAGTGGCAGCCTGGATTTCTACATCTCGGTAAAATGTTTTGGGGGTACGGTAAGAACTCACCCTGCACCTTCAACTTCCATGAAGTGCAAGGAGCTGAGATGCCCATTGAGGCAAGGAAGGAGGAGGATGTACAAGTAAAACATCTGGGAGATTAGGCAACCGGACCTGTGACTATGAGGTGGCCATCACACTTACACAACCTTTCCCCCACTGGCTTGGCACCAAGTAGCAGAAAGGGGCCGACTCTTGGTGCAATTACTAGCAAGCTCATCTCTTCCTATCTCTCTGGTGACTCTGCTCCTCTCACGGCACATGGGGTTGATTCACTAATTATATGGAAAGGTTAAAGAATGTTCTAACTATTTTAGGATTCCAGGGAAAGAAGAGAAATGAATTTTTTTCCCAGGAGAGAGAATGGACAGAGGTGGGTGGGTGGGTGGGTAGATTCTCAGAATGGGTTCCCACTAAGCCAGGGGTCTTCAAACTTGGCCCTTTTATGACTTGTGGACTTCAACTCCCAGAATTCCTCAGCCAGCGTGCTGAGGAAATGTAAAATGAGAAAACTCAAATAAGGAGCGGGTGCCTCCAATGGGCTGACCTCTTAAGAAGGCCATCTTTTGCCAGATACGAATGAGAGACTCCCGAGCCCCAGATATGACAATCATTAAATGGGTGAATGGGTCAATGTTTAATCAGTTAAGCTATATCCGCAATGGACTGCTGTATAATTTTGTCCAAAAATAAGCTGTGTTGTTGAGGAGGATTAATTCCTAGGGCGGGCATAGCGCTGCCCCGATTTTAACTAAACTGCTGATGTTGAAAAATGCTGATTGGAGCTAAGGTCTCCAGGCAGGAGGGAGGATGAGATATGAGAAACTTCTCAAAGTGATCCCTCCCACTTGTAGACACGCACAGAGGGCCTTCAGTTTATTTGCTAGGGACTTTTTATCTTTTCAGATTACCTTCACATTTACTGCCTTCAAGAAGACCCATGGTTTTGAAGTGAGCACCAAAGAAACAAAACACAAATGGGTAATCAACAGTTCAGTGAAAGCCACCATGGGCAGAGAGAAATGCAACCCATGAGCCACTATTCCTGGTTCAATGCACAATCACTTGATTGGCTGATTGCACACTAGTAGTTCCAAGAACAAGCAACCAGGTGAAATCCTAGCAGGACATCATGATATGGAAAGTCATATATATACTCGTGAGCGATTCACTGTTGTGTAACTCATCCGAGACAGGCTTGGAGGCTTCCTGTATTGCAGTGGTTCTCAACCTGTGGGTCGGGACCCCATTTGGGGTCGATCGACCATTTCATGGGGGTCGCCAAGCAAGGCTGTCCGCCATTTTTTTGTCCGCCATTTTTTTTGTCCGCCAAAAAAGGGGGAAAAGGCCGCCCACGGAATGGAGGGAACCCGACCCGGTCGACCACCAGCCGGACGAGGCAGAGACGGCGAACGGAGCTACGCCTCGGCCGGCACAGGGGGCGGAACCACGCATGCGTGGTGCTCCCGGGCAGGGAAAGTCCTCGACTTACGACCGGTTGGGTAGTCCTCGACTTACGACCGGTTTTGTCCTTGACTTACGACCAGTTGGGGTCGCGGCATTAAAAAGGTTGAGAACCACTGCTGTATTGTATGACTTCTGCTCACTATGGTTGTTTTTAACAAATTAACAATTTGTTAATGATTCCCCGTTCAAGGCATCACGTCTGCTGACCCAACGTGCTGGGACCTACCTTGTGGTGAAGCCTGGCCCTCCCGGGTATGAAGTACGACTGTACATCCCAGGTTGCACATAACTTTTGCCTGTTGAACCCTCAGGGAAAGGCTGTTGTCCCATAAATTGTGGTGAGTTCATGCCAGAGCCACTGCTGGCCACGCTGGGCATCATGGGATTGCCAGCGGTGTTTCCTCCAGGACCCATGGGGTTTCCAAAAACCTGCAAAGGATCAAGGAGAGGAGAGAGATTTGGACTAGATCAGCAATGCCAGGCTTTACTCTGTGGTCCAGCAAGATGTGAACAGGGATGAAGTAGGAGAACAAAATCTAGATAGTTAAAGAATCAGGTATTTCCATGCATGCTCTAAGTCCAGATATTTATTTTAGATCAGTTTAGTCCAGCCCTAACAGCTTCGTCTGCATAATGCATCGATCAACACCCAGATACACGAGGATGACTGACAATCCTTTTTCTTAAGAGAATGTCAGCAACTTGCTGTAAAAAGCATTAGAGATCAACTGGATTTCTCCTTCGTTTCTTTACAGATTAAGTAAATTCAGGCTTGCGACCCCTAAAAGGGTGATGTGTATGGAGGGAAGGGGAAACAGGAACTTTCTCTGAGCTTTTAAAAACCACATAAAATGTATAGGACAGAAAATACTTAGGGGTGGCCCATTCTAGCCAAATATTTGCTGCCAGTGTGTCTTCTGAACACCCAGCTTTGTAATCTGCTCAGGCTATTTAGTCTGGAGTAAATAAAACTGTCTGCCGTTGTTAAGTTAAATATCAATGAATAAAGGAACCCAGAAAACAGCTAGAAAGAACTGTTACGAAGGTTGTGCTTCCTGACTTTTTTTTCGGAAGGGAAGGGACAATTTTTACAAATGTTATTTCTCTGAATTCCTTCCATTTGCAATCAGATGAGACTCAGGTAATTCTGAGGTAATTCTGAGGTCCAATTCCATTTAAGGAGACCAAACGAAAGCAAACGTGTTGTGAAGGCCTTTTTTTTCCTGCAAGGCCTCAAAGCTGAAAGAGGCTGTTGTGCTGCTTGTGAAAAATCCAATATCTCCTCCTCATCCGATGAGACTTCGGTTAAGGATGTTTGGTAATTCCTGGTCAATCTGATATCTCACCAGCAGATGTCAGAAAAAGAGCCAGAGTAATATAAATTAAGGTGCTGGGTTAAGCCCAGTGAAGTCCATCCTCAACTCAATAGCAGGATTTTAGCCCAGACATTATCTCACAACTAGCCAACTTCACAGCTTTGTTGTAGGAAAAAAATGGAAGGAAGAGCTACTAATATGCAGCTTTATGTTCCTGGAGGAAAAGTAGATTATACATTTAATGAATGAGGTTGAACCCACATTCCACTCAGGCCTGCTCAGACACAAATCCCAAAATGAATTTGAAGAAACTCACCCTGGCAATTTTAACTGCTTTTTAAGTGCCAAGGAGACCTATTGAACTTGGAATGCTTAGAATTGTGTTGTTAATTTAAATTGTAAAATTTGCAAGGCACGTGGCTGAATTACAGGAGGCTCATTTCATATATTGCCCTCTCTCCTTCAGGCTCCCTTCTATAAACCAATAATTTTATTTCCTCATAAGCCACAAATGTTTTCGTGTTTGTTTTGTGGATTGAGCTTCTGGCTTCACCGAAATGAAACCGTGTGAAAACTAATTAGTCTAAAATGCTAAATGCCTTTCTGTGTTGTTTTCCTTTACTGTAACAAATTAACATAGCTACTTCCTTTGGAAACTTTTCACTTTGCATAGTAGGGCCTCCTTCCTTGCAAAACAGTTGAAGATTGAAATGAACCAGAAGAGATGATCATCTATGTGGAAAGACTGGAACTAGACCTAGAAGTAAACCTTATCTCTCTCTTTTTTAAAAACCTGTTTTGTATCAGCAATTAGGATGGGGTGGGGCTTGGCAGGGAAAGTCCCTTGTGTGATTCTTGGTAGATTATCTAACAGCTCTCTCTGCTAACCTGAAACCTCATGGATCCAACTGGAATAAGGGTGGCAGAAAAGTCCATTGGGGACCTTTGTCATGTAAATCAGAGGTCCCCAACCTTGGGTGTGGTTTTATGTGCTGCCTGCATCCCGCAGATGGGGCTTTGCTTGTTTGTGCGGACTGGTTGCTGGCATGCCGCGGCCCGGTACTGGTCCATGGACCGGGGGTTGGGGACCCCTGATGTAAATGACTCATTTTGGGGGTCACCTTTCAGCAGAGATGGGGAAGTCCTACCTTCCTCTTTACCTGTCTGACTGAAGGTCCATTTTGAGAAAAAGGATGCAGGATGTTTATGGGGGGAAAAAACAACAACCTCAACTGGAAAGAAAAAAAAGACTTCAGTGAAGTTTTTCATGGATTGTATTTCTGGGCAGCTGGCCTTAGTGATACTTGCTAGCTTGATACTGTATTGCTGCGCAGAGTTGCATGAATCAAAGCTTGAAAGGGGACTTTTAAGGGCAGCTCAGATATAATTTTAAATGAAAATTAATTCTCTGGTCCACCCCCTGTAGAAAAGAATGGCTGGGGACATCTGCTCCGGGATCTTACCTTAGCAAAATTTGAAAGGAGGTTGAACGTGGGTGCCCTGTATCCACTCCCCACCCACCCACCTCTCTCTACCCCCTCCCCCCCTTTGAAGGCTGCAAAAGGTACCTGGCTTTGGGATGTGTTGCTGACGCCCCAAACAGTGGTTACCACCGAGAGAGATCCTGCAGGCTGATTGGTATTCTGTTGCCAAGGAACTGACTCGTAGGCATATGAACCATCACTAGAAATGAAAACAAAACAACACACAGCAGACCGATGTGCCATGTCAGTAATTAGGAACCTCTGGGGAAGAGAAGGGGCACGGGGGGGAAAGGGGGAGGCATTCGCAACTGGATACGAGGAAACAGCAACTGAACCCTCCTTGAGCAAATTAAAAAAATAAAGATGGGATTGCTAGGTAGTTATGGGTCACGGTCAGAAAACGAAGCCTCCCTTTTCAGCAAATTCCAGGCATAAGAAAGACAGCAAAACTGCAGGAGAAAGCTGCAGTTTTGATGGGAGGTAGGTTTTCCAGAAGCTCTGGGTGCACTTACAGGCTTACTGGGTGCACTTACAGCTTCTAAACGCCACAGAGCAGAGGGGCCTTAGGATTCATAAGTAAGGGTGGGGCAGATCCTAGGAGGCAAGGAGCCCCCCCCAAACCTTATTTTGCCATCTGCCCATTTCATGGTCATCTTTTTATCAGCGGCTTTAGGTGTGCAGCTCAAACAAGCCATTCCCTCACCCCAAACTCCAAGGAACCACAACGGATTCTGGTTTATCCCTACTCTAGGACAGGGGTCCCCAATCCCTGGTCCGTGGAACGGTACCGGGCTGTGGCATGCCAGCAACCGGTCCACACAAACAAGCAAAGCCCATCCGTGGGATGCAGGCAGCACACAAAACCACGCACTCTCTGGTCCGCGGAAAAACCTTTCTCCACAGAACCTGTCCCTGGTGCCCAAAAGGGTGGAGACCTCTGCTCTAGGACATTGCTAACCTCCTCAGAGGCCAACTCAAAGTGCACCTTGCAGGTAATCCTCAACCTACGACCCTTCATTGAGCAGCTGTGTGAAGTTACAATGGCACTGAAACAGTGACTTCAACCAGTCCTCGTATTTACAACCCCTGCAGCACTCCCAGAGTCATGGAGTCCAAACTTAGGGAATTGCTTGGCAACCAACATGTATTTACAATAGTCGCAGCGTCGCCATTTGCGACTTTCCCAGCTGGCTTCCAACAAGCAAAAGTCAAGGGGGGTGGGGGGAAGGAGTCAGATTTGACTTAACAACTGCACAGTTCGCTTAACGTGGCAAAAGGGGCTGTAAGATTGGGCCCGACTGCTTAACAACAGCAATACTAGTCTCAGTTGTGGCTGTTAACTTGAGGACTACATGTATCAAACCTGGCTGCAAAAAAAGAGCCCCCCCCCGGTAACCCCTTCCTTATGTTTGGTGGTGACTTCCAAACATGAAACAAGAATTGTTTCTGCTAACTCAGGGGTGGGAAGCTCCGTATTGCAGCCAAGGGCTGCGTCGTATTTCCAGCCTTTTTGCAATCTTCAGGGCTGGCCACCTTCCAAGGATTGTCAAACGGCAAGCCTGCAGGACCAGGTGAAAAAGAGGCGTGTGCAAAGCCAAAAGAGGAGGCGGGCTGTATCATACTCACCCATGCGGGGTGGGAGGGAGCGATGGTTTCATTGGGTTCATGGGGGTCATTGGCTACAGGGAGGCGAAGGGGCTGGGTGCAGGATCCAAGGCCACACAGGGAGACCGGTCACTGCCTCTCCGATGTCACAGCAGCAGAAAGACTAGAGAAAAACAGGCCGGGAGCAAGACATTAGCAGCTGCACAGAAACACAGGAAGTGTCTTATTCGAAGCCAGACTGTCTGTCCCAGAATTATGCACAGTATTTCCCAACCTAGAGAAGCTTCCAGAGAGGTGGGGGGGACTTCTGCTCCTGCAATTCCCATGCTGGTGGGAAATTCTGAGAGTCGAGGTCCATATCCATATTCCTGGAAGCTGTCCAGGTTGGAAAACACTGCTGTGAACCAATGGGCAGCATCTACCCAGGCTTCCGGACAAGCGGTTGGGTCCATGGGGTAGCCAAACCATGTCTTTCGATGTAGTCCAGAAGGTGAGCCTTCTCCACCCCATCCGATTCATTTCCTCAACACACTTCCAAAGAAGGCGGGACTGAGAAAGGTGGAGACCAGGCCAAAGTCCCCAAACGAAGATACTTGAGCTCCAAGGTCAACATCCTTGCTTATGATTTATGACTGACCCTTCAAGTGGCAACTTATTCAAACCAAGGTGGCTGGGTGGAGCTGACTGCCCAAGACACAGGCCAATATACAGAGCTCCTCTCTCAAAACATGTGCTCTCTTGGCCCTGGTGATAGGGCCTCCCCTCCCTGGTTCCCCTTGTGTCCTCAGATATCCTCTTCTCCTCCAACAGAGTCAAGGCCAGGAGTGGGTGGCAGAGCTGGCACCCGGTCAACCCGACGACTTTGAGCTCTTTTGTTCTGGGGCAGCATGTGTCTCCCCACCCCTTTCCGAGATGCCATGTTTAATTTCCAGGCCGCGCAGGTAGAAGCCTAGTGCACACCTCTTGTGTCTTCTCTTCCACGGTGATTTGTCTGCGGCTCCCCCCACCCTTAGTTTTCCTGAGGGGAAGTGGCCCCATTTGTTTAGCAGAGGCATTCGGCTCTGACTACGTCAACTTTATACGGCGGCCAGAAGGAACTTGGCGTACTGCCCAGTTATGGCAAAACAAGGTCCTGGCAGGAGCAAGCTGTCGAGCTGGCCTAGTTACACCAGATTAACTCTGTGTTGCCCACGGCGTCCGGACAGACTCAACAATGCACATCCATCACTCTACCTGAGCTTCTCTCTGGCTTGTGGAAGCTGGAAGCGTCACCATATTCCTTGTTATCACATCAAACAGAAGAAGGTACTATTCAGGTGAGGGAGTATGACACCATGAGGAGCAGTTTGGTCCTCACAACAGCCAATATTTACAATTCTGTTTTCCATAGCTAGATGATGCTAAACTGTATCTCCCAGCAGTGCTGGTTAAATAACGTGGTCACCGATGAGGGAACTCGGGAGCAGAAACCTCCAGAGCAGGGGTAGGCAACCTTGGCTCTTTTATGACTCGTGGACTTCAACTCCCAGAATTCCTGAGCCAGCTCGGCTCAGCTTGGAAACTCTCCCTTTCCCCTCAGCATGGCTGGCTCAGGAATTCTGGGAGTTGAAGTCCACGAGTCATAAAAGAGCCAAGGTGGCCTACCTCTGCTCCAGAGGATCACTGCTTCACCTTTCTATCATTAAAAATAGCAGCTAGGTTCACACAACCTGCCCAGCCTTCATGGGGGTGGTTTGGTCTGATTATGATTTAGCGTGTGCAAGTTAAGGTACAAACGTAGCGATTTGGGTGTAGACAACAACTTGGAAACCGACCCTGAGTTAGAGCACCATGTGAAGGATAAAATAGAGATTTTAGGGGATGTAAGAGCCCTTACTTTTACATAGATAGCTAAAAGTTGTTTAAGATGTTAAAAGAGAGAGAAGCTATTGTTGGGAAAGAGACGGGAGGGGAAGGAGGAGGAGGAGGAGGAGGAGGAGGAGGAGGAGAAGAAGAAGAAGAAGAAAAAGAAGAAGAAGAAGAAGAAGAAGAAGAGGAGGAGGAGGAGGAGGAGGAGGAGGAGGAGGAGGAGGGAGGAGGAGGAGGAAGAGGATCTAAAGTAAACCCAATCGCCTTGACCAGAACCTGGGAAACAGGCATCTTTCTTCTGCTGATTTTTTTTCCCCAATCTCCAAGATTGTCTATATAGTGGGAATGACATAGTAAGAAGAGTAAAGAAAACATGCCCAGGCAGATCTAATTAACTCCACTTAGTTTTGGGTAGGGACTCTGGGAAAGCTTATTTCCAGTCCCTCCCCCCCCCCGCTCTTCAAGAATAAAGTAAAATTTAGAGACAGAAATGCCAACCGCCCCTCATTCTTCCCATTACTCATCCCATGCAGAATAGCAATAGCACTTAGACTTATATACCGCTCCACAATGCTTTACAGCCCTCTCTAAGCAGTTTACACAGCCAGCCTATTGCCCCCAACAATCTGGGTCCTCATTTTACCCACCTTGGATGGCTGGAAGGCCAAGTCAATCTTAAGTCAGTCAGGGTCGAACCGCTGGCAGTCGGCAGAATTAGCCTGCAATACTGCATTCTAACCACTGCGCCACCAAACTGTGAGAATAAGGTTCTAAGAGGCCAGTGTTTTCAATATTAAGCAAGCATCAAGAACATTGGGGACCTAACCTCAAGCTGATAAAAGGAAAGTTCATGGTAAAGTCAATTTTTTGTGGACGAGATGTTGAGGAAACCCATGGAACTTGGATGCTTGAATAATTTGCACGTCTTCCTAAGATCACACATTGTGTGTGCGTGTGAGCATATCAATTCTCTTTCCCCTAGGATATTTTTTATTTTATTTTTCTATTTGGTCACTTTATTTACTTGCCTCTCCCAAAAAAAGAGGGATCATGATGTTGTGGAGCAGAAGGTGAAACAAATAGAATAGAAACACTTTCTGGATCAAAGGTTTCTCGCGGTTTTTAGAGCAAGGTGAGGGAGGGCGGGCTGTAGGACTTTTTTGGCTGAGCGAGTCCCATTGACTCACTGATCAGGTCTGTAACCATACCTAGGGGCGCACAGAAGCCTTGTCAACATGCCATAAAGAAGGGGTGGGCAACCGTGGCCCCTTTACAATCCGTGGACTTTAATGCCCAGAATTCCTGAGCCAACCATGCTGGCTCAGGAATTCTGGGAATTGAAGTCCACAAGTCTTAAAGTTGCCAAGGTTGGCCACCCCACTTTGAAACAGTCTTCTTATAATTCTTCCTACTGCATTCTTAGTAATCATTTGAGGGAATAATGGCTGGGTGGGGAAGACCCACAGGAAAAAAAGGAGGGGGGGGAAGCCCCAGCACACCCCAGGCCTATTTTCCCCACTCCTTCCTGTCCATGAGGTTCACACACCTCAAGGACATTTATTTTGGAAAACACACGTTCCGTAGGATGTAAATGCTGCCATCCTTGTCCATGGTGCCTCAGGAATTCTGGGAGTTGTGGTCCACAGGTCACAAAGGGGCAGTAATTGCCCATCACCGCTGTAAAGTACTACTTGCCAGCATTTTCTTCAACAAGCCAGCTGAGGATGGGCAGAAGAAATGAAAAGGGCCATTTCTGTGGTCAGGTCAGGGGTAAGCCCGCCATCCTCCTTTGCCAGCCTACCTCTGATCAGCTGGGACAACCGGTTTAAACCAGGACATATTTTAGCTTCTGGAATGGTTTACACTTCTGGCTTTCTCTTCCCACTCCTGGTGATCCTTTATTGTTCTTATTAACTATTTCGAAAGCTATCGGTTATTTATTTATCTTGCTGCGTCCTAATCAAAGCACCCTGAGCCTAAGAAAATAACGTTTGGTGTAACTAAAGATATATATATATATATATATATATCCTGCTCCTCTTGTTCCTGTAACGTATCCTCTTCTCTAGATTGCTGGGAGACTCTCAACAATGAACACACACACACACACACACACACACACACACACACACACACACTTTATTAACTGGGACAGCTACTTCGGAAGGAAATCATGCTTAACCCCAAAATGAATTAGCTACTAGAAGATGGCAGAGTGTCAGACAGAAAAGAAAAGAGAGAGTCTCACTTAAGATATGTGAGATGGAAAAAAAACAGGACTTAAATCTCATGTGGGTTCCCCCCCCCCCAAAAAAAAACCAGTGCCCTGCAGATAGGCTGGCCTTCAGTTCCCATAATCTCTAACCACCAAGGCTAGGAGAACTGTGGAGGGGAGGGGGCTGAGGAAAGTGGGACCCTTCCCCATAAAACATCTGATAGCAGCTTGGAAGAAAGCTTTGCTTGTGGGGAGGAAACGGGCAAGGGAGGGAGGAGGAAAAATAGATTCATTTCTCAGCTAACCAAAACATACAATCTGACAGCTTCCAACTGTCAGTTCAAAACCCCATTTCCCTCAAGCAAAGCCATTGCCTCATCTGGGACTAGCCACAAGCCTTCCAACTGCTCTTCTTTAACAAAAAAAAAAAAAAAAAAAAAAGGCTGCTGTTTTTGCAGGCAGTGTCGGATGGCGTGCCAAGAAGGGGAATACCAAATACACATGCAATGTGTTAAAGGGGAGAGCAGAGAAACACAACAAGGGCAGAGGCAACAAGCAGAATGTGGCAATTAGGGGTTGCTGTGGTAGGATAAAAGGGTGAACTGAGTGGACCACCAAGATCCACGGGGAGACCTCTTCCCATTTTTCATAGAGGCTACATTCAGAGACCCCTTCCCAGTATAAAAAGGAATGAAAAAGAGGGGGAGAGGGGTACTGAAGATATAAAAAGGGGAAAAGAATATATGCAACTTGGGATTGAACTGTGGAGGAGTCCTTGGTTATCGTTGAGCTTGGCTGTCTGTTTGCAGACATTTGTTTGGTTACCCAACTAGCTAACATCATCAATGGACACTGATGATGTTACCTAGTTGGGTAGTGAAATGTCTACAAACAAACGACCAAACTCAGAGAGCACCAAGGACTCCATATATGAACACTTGTGCTGCAGAGGAAGAGAGAAGAAACTGGTCAGATTTACCATCTTGGTGCCAGTCTGAGGTGTAGGACCACAATTATCATAAACTCACACAAGAAAATCATGGAAAATGCCCCACACTGGGGGCAAAGGATGCCAGCCCAACACTTCAGAATAT